GAAACCATTGAATGTTTTATCATCAAACGCTACTTCAAAATCATCAATGTTATCGACAAACCATAGAAATGTTCAATCTACTTAAAATTAACCCATGAGTACTCCAATAGGAAGAAAACAATCTTTTGGTAGTGTATCATCTGTAAATAGTGACACGAGCACGCTTCAAGACGATATGGGAACGATATTCGAAACACCATCATTGTCACACATCGATTCCTCGGATCATGACTCCTCACCTAATATGAATGAAAGTCGTGAAAATGTTTTGGCGAAACATTTGAATAATGTAAAATCTAGAAATCCAGCATATGATGGAACATTCGGCGTACGTATAGATCCAATTACACAAAAGCTGAAAATGGGAAGTCTAGTGGTACATTTCAAAGATGGAAACATTTCATTTTGGGATGCTAATAAAGTGAAAAAATATGAATGCGCAGATAGTCCAGACTCGTATGATATGATCTTTTTGAAGAATCCGCAAGATGTTGATGATGAAGAAACTCGTCAAGTATATTCCAAAATATTGAAAATAACGAATGCTCCATATAAACAATTTCATCTGAAGAATGGTTTGAAAAACACAAATTCTAAAAAATTTCGTGAAGTTATCAAACCTCTATTAGACTCACGACAATATCCAATTAGAAGTAGAAGTAAAATTGGTGGAGCACTCAAACGAGTGAAAATGGAGAAAACATATAATTCTAAACCTGCGAATTATGTGTACTGGAATTCACCGAAAGAGTTAGTTGCTCACCTACGACTATTGGTAGCTTCAAAGTCAGCTGGACATACAGGACATGACAATGAAATAATTTCAATAATTGAAGAATTACGTGAAGAAGGTATAATATATTAATATATACACAAGTAATGATCACTGTCACATCATCATTCAATGCAGTAACATTATCACCTTTTCTCATTATTCATATTGAAATAGAATGACTAATGAAATAAGTGATGTCAAACGACAAGTTGTTAATGAATTACATAGACCTGCAAGACGTAGTTTTCGCAGAAAAATAACCACTATCAAAGATTTTGCAGATCTATGGCAAATAGATCTAGCTGAACTGTGCCTTCACAAGGCGGCATTTTGCTTTCTTTTTCATTTCTCCAAACCGACGAAGTGGACTGAAAGAAGATACCGATTCAGCTTTCAAATCACCCTCCATTTCTTTAGGTGCACTTTTTGGCTTCCTCTTCGATCTGTCACTTTTCAATGTGGGTTTTTTCTGTCGCACAACACTTGTGGATTGTTTAAAGTCAGTAACAATCGATGAAGATGCATTAGTAACCTTCCTCTTGATTGTTCTAGATTTCTTATCAACACCAAGAGGAAGAGTAGATGAAGGGTGTTTGAGTGGTGATAATTGTGAAACGATTGGATTTTCAATAACAATTTGCTCATTTGGTTCCGGCAAAGTTAACGAAGTCGTTAATATCAAAATCATTTATCGAATCTTGACTCGATAAATGTAATACTGGAATATTTTCAAAATCAATCTGATCGATATCAACAAGTGATGAACCATCTTCAGCAATCAATAGCGGCATAGAGCTCATGATAATGATTATGTAGGTCTGAGGAATGATATGTGATAGTGTCGCAACTCAGTTCTCGCTTGGCTATTTACGAGAGGATTTTTATTTGCTGTTTCACCCATTCATCCATTCATCCAAAATAATGAAAGAACTCATTTGAAACTTAATTAAATATTTATTGTGAAGAAACAGAAAAAAATAAACTCACTCTCAAATGTTAATAAAAATAATACATTAAAACAATCAAAAACTTACATTATACTGCCACCCAGCAGGATCGAAGAGAAGGAGATGTGCTGCATTGCTGATGATTAATCGATACTCAAATGAATACTGAATACTATCTGTTGACTGTTAATGATCTTGTTAATGATCTGTTGATCCGGTCACTGTACTGAGGTAAAATGCACAGCATGCAATCTGTGCCAAGTTTGCGTATTTGGAGATTGTTTTATATTCCATATCCTGTGATCGGATCAATTTCGATGTCTATGAACTTGAAATATTAAAAGATGGAATTCTCAATACTGAGTGTTCTTGTGTTAAAATATTGAAGTGAGGTTGGAATATCTTTCAATTCATATATTTACTTAAATGAATCTGAATTATTTCATGTTTATTTCCTATACTTGACACATCTCCCCTCCACGTTAAAGCTGGCCCCCAGCTTTTTGGGAGGTAATGAAAAACAAAAAAAAAACAAATTGAAATTCAAATGAAAACTCACAACTCAATAAAAATATTTTCAATAATAAAAAAAAACAATGGGTTTAAAGTATGATCACGAACATCAATAACAAACTATATGTCCTATAAAAATTGGGAAGAACCATATTGTCCAATTGATTCTGCAACTATGAGTTCCCACACTAATATTGTCATAGTCCGGCACTGAACTTTATCTGTCTTTGTGTCACTCCACCAATCTGTCCGCACATCGTTCCGTGTCTTGGTTCTGATACACTTTGGTTGACGGCTGCTCGGCTACCACAACTCAACTGGATGGAAACATTGGCAACGTAGTAGTGGACTGAATTGGACTGGACTATAATTACGTATTACTTTGTGCCTTGCGTTTTCTCGTACTCGCAGAACATGTTTTTCTGGTTTCTGTGAAATGTATCTGTCATTCTGTTCTGTCATTCTCTATACAATTGTGTATAGAGAAGAAGAAGAAGAGTTACGACTTGACATATGAAATACATATTATTTGATGAATATGTGAATATTTAGCAGCATTTTTCGTTCACTGAAGCGATTTTGATTTCACACTTTCAAATATATTTATATCTGTGTGTTCATCGTGTAATAGTGTAATCAAGTTATTAGCTGCCCAGGAATATAGAAATTCACTCCGTCGAGTGCTTTTTGGAAACTTCAAACATCATCATTTGTGGATGTGTTTTGTCAGCATTTATGAAACTAGCGTTGTTTTCATAAATTACTTGCGAAATATTTTCTGTAGGCTGCTTGGGATTTGGATTATCCTGGTATGATGGTGATTCTGAATTGTTTTGAGTATTACAATTCTATTCACATATTATTATGTCTATGGATGATGTTTGCTCACACAGGAACTGTTTATCAGCTGCTCAGAACAACTGGTAACGCAACAACGTAAGTATTTGTTTCTGGTTGAATATGGCACTAGTGACTGCGATATTCCTATAGTCCATTCATTTGAGCCATGATGATTCAACTTCATGTTTCCCTAGATCATCGTGCTGTCTGTGGTAGGATCTGCTGAATGTCCTGGAGTGGAAAACCTTAACAGGGGTGATGGAGTAGTGGAGTAGTGACTGCCTCGAAGTGCCTTGGGGTGTGGTGTTGCCTCGATTGCATGAAACAAGAGAGGAATTTGGCAGTAAGTTCTTTCATGATATATTTTTATTTTTATAGCTAGGTTATGTTACTATTAAATCCGATAATAAAAAAAATCAACAAAAATCACTGCATTATATAGTTAACAATCATTTGACAGTTTAATCTAATTGGTTAGAGTACATATAATATACATTAAAGTTAATTTGACGATAACTAGCAGATACCTTACAAACTTTCTTTTTCAACTTTGAAGCATACTTTTTGATTCATGCTTGAGTATACTTTATCTCGTGTGTATAGTCTACCTATATAAATGATTCTTCTTCAATACATAATCATCAATTCTCACCTTTTCAATATATCTATATGCTTCTTTTATTCCTCATAATATTACAAACTTAACTATTTGTAGATCATCAGTCTGAGATGCTATTTCCTTTTACTTTCCATACAAAATAAAAAAATAAATCTATGTGGTGACATTGAATTGTTTGTACTTCTTCTGGCCAGGGGTGTGTCAATAATGCATTCATTATTATTATGTTTCATTTCTTATTTAATTACTGCTTATTTTTCCTTAATTAATTGTATATGAAATTATATTTGAAAACAACTAATGAAAAAATATTTTGTATCTGCATTTTTATTTAATTACTATTCTCTAATTATTATACCCTAATTATTCTGGATTCTTATATGTTTGAAAGTGTATATTGCAATTCGAGTCAAGATGAATTTTTTTTGTATAACACATACCTAAGTAGATGAATTAATTTTTGTTTAATATTATATGTACTCTGGACATTATTAATTCAACATTTTCATGAAGGATTACATGCATTTACAGAGTACAGTTTAACAAATTTCATTTTGTTTTAGGCGTGGCGCTTAAGATTATGCAAAAAATAGTGAACAATAGTATTTGAGGAAAAAACTTTTAGTGAAAGAGAGGTAAGTATGCTTTAAGTGTAACACTGCCATGTAAAACATGTTTTAATAAAATTTTTGAAGACCATCATCTTTTACTACCTCTTGATATCAGTCTCGCAATAAATATTTATAGCAAATGAATTGTTACTCTTCGAACTCAAAGAAAAAAAGTTTGAATATTTGGCGGTTATATTAAAATGAAACTATTTCCAGAATGTACTAAAAATAGTAAATCTGAGGAATTTTTTAAATATTTTACGTTGCGCTGTATCGAAAACAACATTACAAACCAATCGACAAGGGTTCATATTTATACTGTATCTCAAAAATGAGGATTTTTTCATGTTGGCGATCATGATGGCGTTCCTTATCTAAACAGTTTTCAAAAAGTTAATAAAACTCAAAAATGGACCTTTTTCTTGTGTCAATATTCTTATTGATTATATTAAATATATTGATTACTTAATGAGCTGACGTTGATGACTACTATAATTTTTTTTCGAGTCGTTACCAATAAAATGTTAGAGGATGATTGGGAACGAGGAATATATTATGAATCTAACTAATTGATACTATGATACACATTCCCAAGCTGATGTAACAGATATTGGTAGGTGTATCATTTATTTTTCAAAAAGTCAGATACGAATGCAAAATTTCGAAATCATGTGATGGGTAATCGTACGGAGCTGCATGAACAGGTATTCCATACGTTTAGCCAATCTCAACAGCACAATTCCAAGCTGATGAAACAGATATTGGAAAATGTACCGCTCATACTTTCGAAATTTACAGACAAGAACTGAAAAAAATTGTCAAATTATTCCATTTACAATCATAAGAAGCTGAATGAACAGATATTCTTTACGATTGCTCAACTTCAGTAATACTTTTCTTTCTAAGCTGATGAACAGTTATTAGAAAGTGTATCACTCATAATTTGAGGAGAAAGGAAACATGGAAAATTGAATGAAATAATAGGTTCAGGATAAACTATGTTCCAATGACTTGTTGTATATGGATTTAAAAAATAATTGAAGCACAAAAACCAACTTATAACACATTCAAAACTAATCATCAAACTACCAAAAAAAACATTTATTTGAAGTATATTAAAAAAAAAGGAAAAACTGTAATTTCACTGGATGAAACAGCTATTAAATTCTCTCATTATTGGAAAACTAAAGAAAAATAAACTTTTCAGCTAATTATCACAACATATTTCCAAAACTTGAACAATTCAACTTTTTGTATTAAAAAATTAGTTCCACAGGCCCATTATGAAGAATGAAGCCCCCGAGAACGATAAAGGCGCCTCCACCACGTGTCGCAACTCAGTTCTCGCTTGCCTTGGCTATTTACGAGAGGATTTTTATTTGATGTTTCACCCATTCATCCATTCATCCAAAATAATGAAAGAACTCATTTGAAACTTAATTAAATATTTATTGTGAAGAAACAGAAAAAAATAAACTCACTCTCAAATGTTAATAAAAATAATACAATAAAACAATCAAAAACTTACATCATACTGCCACCCAGCAGGATCGAAGAGAAGGAGATGTGCTGCATTGCTGATGATTAATCGATACTCAAATGAATACTGAATACTATCTGTTGACTGTTAATGATCTTGTTAATGATCTGTTGATTCGGTCACTGTACTGAGGTAAAATGCACAGCATGCAATCTGTGCCAAGTTTGCGTATTTGGAGATTGTTTTATATTCCATATCCTGTGATCGGATCAATTTCAATTCTATGAACTTGAAATATTAAAAGATGGAATTCTCAATACTGAGTGTTCTTGTGTTAAAATATTGAAGTGAGGTTGGAATATCTTTCAATTCATATATTTACTTAAATGAATCTGAATTATTTCATGTTTATTTCCTATATTTGACAATAGCAATAGAATCTGAATAGAAAAGGTGATGATGTTACTGATATCTCACCTTTTATAATAATAATATTATTAATAATCGTCTTTATTGTTACCCAGCTGTAGTTACATACAAATATTTAAATAAATTAGAGAGCTAGTTGCTGACAAACAAAAGACGAAGTTCAACTTAGTTAGCACAAGTGCTACTGAGTTGAAAATAAACTAGCACATGCGCTCTTTCATCAACTGGCACATGCGCTCTTTCACTAAACTATTTACGCATGTGACAATCTTTGTCATTTAAGAGGAAAACTTTGTGTTGCATGCATTTGTAAAATGTGAGAAAATGATACAAATAAATTCAAAATATATATATTTATTAATAATAGAGGACAATAACGATAATAAAAATAAAAAATGTTGATGTCTCTGTTGATGTGGAACGTTCTTTCACTCTCCTCCTCAATATTTGTTGTTCATGTGTCAGACACCAACATTGAAAAAAATGGATTCTCCTATTGGGGTAGAGTTAACCAACCTTCTCACATTAATCCCAAGTACTTCTACATGTAGTGCATACATGATTCCAACAATTCATAGAATATGTATCACAACGCAAACAACGTTGCAGCGGAGTTGGAACGGCAGCACAAGTACCACAAATATTTCTACAAATACCTATATTATTCAATATTAGAGGTTCGGAAAACTTCAGGCACTGTAACTGTTGTTGACGATAATCTGATTTTGTTCGCTTCGGTGGATGAGATGGAGGCGATAGTTGAATCCGCGACACACAATCACTACACTACACAAGGTCTACTTATTTGGCAAAAGTAGCACACAATAGCCCCTGCAATCGTCATTGGGTAGACGCACACTTTTGGTTTTTCATTCCACTCTTTTGGAAACGGCATTTTACTAATTCGATTAGAAATATTAAGAGATGACTTATAGAAACTCTGACTGCTCTCTCGTATACCGACATTCTCTATTTATACAAATTAACATCATGTGTAAGTATAGTGGGATAACTTATCCTTCTCTTCCACTCAAAACCAGTCAAGTGATAAGTGGGAGTCGTACCACCACCACTACCTATACAATTATATAAGTCGACTTGCGATCCTGAAGTTCATTCATTCACTCTGCAACTGTGAGAAAACGTCAAGATGAATACTCAAAAAATGGTTGCTGCATTAAACAGAATATCTGCTATTGATGCAAATAATTGGATAGGAGAGTCAGATGATGAGGTTGCCAACATTCAGCTAGAGGAAGTGATAGTTGAAGAAGGTGTTGGAGTCGATGAAGAGGAGATTGACCTTGGAGTCAACGAAGTTGAAAATGAGGCTAATGAGAGCGATGAAGATGATGACATGGTCGATGAGTTGGTCGTGGATGGTGGAGGCGATGATGAAGGGGTTGTAGCTGATTCATCTGAAGGTGATGGTGCTGTGAGAATCGGTCTCCGAATGCTCAACATCACTGACACGTTATAAGATCCCATGGATTTATATTGCGTGATGGACGCGCATGTGCAGATCTGAACGATTGATGGCAACATCAAAAAGTTATGTTGGTGTTGTTTTCAATTTTACTCGATACGGAACAATAACGGCGGCTGGTATCAACATGTAAACATCCATGATACGGTCTCTATGATGAAGCTGGGTCAGTATTGGTGTGAGGCATGTGAAATAGCGCTCACAAATTCCACGAGAGTGTCAGCATGCATAATATGCAATAATGTCTAACCTGTGACAGAATAACCGTGGACCTATTGGTCCTCGGTTATCCTTTTCAGGGATATATTATTCACACAAACAGTAGTTGTAGTAGTATTCACAAATTATGTGACAAATGACTACTTTGACTAATAAAAAGTCTAAGTTGGAAATTTGTTAGTCTTTGAATATCTGAGCATTATATGACAAATTACTACTTTGACTGAAAAGTCGAAATTTGGAATTTGCTAGTCATTGAATATCTGTGCATATGATGAGTACTACTTCAACTGAAAGTTGAAGTTGGCAATTTGTCAATCATTGAATATTGAGTGTGACCCATTAAAAACCCAATAAAAAAATCGCTAATGAAAAATCCCGATTTTCGACTAAGAAAAATATGCCCTGAAACTTTAATAAACATTTCAAATTTTGTCCCAAGGTAGACCTTTTAGTACTTGACATTTAAAAAAAAATATTGAAATCGATTCACAACTTCAAATTTTAGGGGGGTGTTTCCATTAAAAATGGGTCACACTGTTTATGCATATAATGATGAGAACCTACTACAGAGTGGGATGATGGTACTTTTACTTGCATTTTGTTTGAGACTATAATGTTAACCTAATGTTAACAATGGTATGAACCTGTTTCTGTTTGAAAGTATAATGATAGCTCTGAAAAGAGCTGTTTTTTTTTCAGTCTTTAATTGTAGCCCTGAAAAGGGCTGTTTTTTTTAATAATCCATACAATGGTATGGACTGACGCTCCTCATCATCAGAAACAATAATGATAGTGTGGTCATCTGAATCATCTGAATCAGATGATATACTAATGATGTCGTCCTCATAATCATCTAAATCAGATGATTATGCGTTGCAGAAATTGAGCGAAGGTTGTACTGAAATGATCGGACGTTGAATCTATTTCATGTACCTGAATGGGTCCTGTACTCGACATTGTGGAAGAATGATGTAGAACTGGGATTGATGCTATATTTATATTGAAAAAAATAAAATGGATGGCTGAAGTGTAAATGTAGAACAATTCAGTGTTTGAAATTCGAAAACACCAAGAATGACGATCTTCATGAAACTCTGAGTGATTATTATGAGAAACTCTGGGTGATTATTATGAAAAAAAAAGCTGATAAGGGAGAGGGAGGAAGACACTGCCCCAGCCTCGCAGTGCCTCGTGTACACCAACCAAAAAGTGTGTACTCCGTGGAAGGACAGGAAAGGAAAGGAAAAGAAAGGAATGGAAAAGGTGGAAGAAGAGAAGAAACGATTACATATCGTCCTCTGAATTGAGGACTTCATCATCAATCATCATCTTCGATGAGGATTGGGGATGGTTGAGGTCTATCTTCGAATTCCTCGGACTCATCGTCAGCGTCATCCTCATCACTATCTCCGGGCAGTAGGTCATCATTATCTGAATCCCATTCAGAACCCCGCCAATCGTTAGGATTC